GGGGGGGGGGGGGGGGGGGGGGGGGTACACAAATGGAACATGAGGGCGGTGCGATCGACCAGATTCGGCAACTTTGACGGTAGGGTTCGTGAAGTCTTCCTGTCTTGGGTTCCTTGTACAAAAGGGTTTCCAAAGGGAGTGAGTGGCGTTATCCCACGGCAAAAACAAACCGGAGCAGCAGCAGCAGCAGCAGCAGCAGCAGCAGCAGCAGCAGCAAAATAACGTTCCACGACAACAAGAGCGACCAGAAACCGCCACGATCAGCAATGAGCAACACGGACAATTGGCGCCCGCCATGTTTGTCGCAGGGAGGATCGAGGGCGTCACCTTGTTCTTTCCGAACTGCATGGTGTCCGCCGGGATGTTCTTCATGCTAACCAATGCCGGCGACAGAACGTGCTTGACAAGGTCCTGTGATCATACACAAACCAAGGCAGACCAAAGGGAACGGCAGAGGAAAGGGAGGGGGGGAGATGGTGGCATAGAACACGACGTGGGTACAGGCAATCGCAACAACGGCAGTAAGTCGTGGATTGTTTTTCATGTTTCAGCAGGTCGCTTGAACAGGTGGCTCTCGTGTGCTTGGCTAGTGGGCCGTTCGTGTCTCTTGTTTGCCCACGCTAAAATTCGCGGGACGCACTTTGCAAATGTTTCTACACCAAAAAAAAGGGAGTGGTGAAGATGATGACAAAGAACACGAAGTGGGTACAGGCAATAGCAACAAGTGCAGTCAGTCGTGGAAAATATTTCTTTTCAGCAAGTGGCTTGAACAGGAGGCTCTCGTGTGCTTGGCTAGTGGGCCGTTCGTGCGTACATAGTTTGCGGATGTTTTCTACCGCGAAGAACGTTTCACCGCCTCCTCTCTACTGTACAAGTTCAACTACCTCGATCCAACGGGGCTAGCTAGTAAGGACGTTCCCTCTCTACCAACTAGCCCCGTGAGGGTCGACGCTAAGAAACTCGTACAGCAAAGAGGACACGCAAGAACACTATTAGCCAGGTATTTCTTTCAAAATGTCTGCATGAAACGAATACTCCTGCGTACCAGGCAATCAGCTTGGGCAACAGCAAAAGCAAACAAACGGCCTAGTCTAGCCATCTGCTCATGATATCTGCTCAGCAAAAACAAAACAAAAAAAAATACAGAATCCAGGACTGACTGGTCTGTTTGCATTTCTCTTGCCTGCACTCAAAAACCCTTCTTTTCCTGACGCCTTTCTGTCGCTAGCCACCATCATTTCTACTACCGCACATGACACAAAATAATACACCCCCTGGACTGATTTTCAAAGCTCGATCACTCCGCAGCAGAGACAGCGGAGGTGCCGACGACGGCGGCGTTGAAATCGTCTCTCTCGAAAACGTATGGATTGGTTTCGACGCAGGGGGGGTATTGCCAACATCAACGGTTCTGTCCGCAGACACCGCTCCCCCCTGGCTCTTGCCTGGCAAACAGCGGGCGACCCTGGGGGCTACAGCAAGACTGCTGTTGGTCTGTTGCCGTTGCTGTTGCTGTGGTTCTTGTCGTGGGGACGAGAATTACCGCTCGGATCTCTACCCCCGCAACCGCGTTTGTCCACCCGTCACGGAGACATCCTCTTCGTGTAGAGCAAAGGCTCTGTGGAAATCGATCCGGGGAGGGTGATATCACCAATGGTACACACTACCTGGTGAAGTGTAAGACGAAATAATAGGATTCACCTCGAATCTGTGTTTCTTGACCCTACCTATTCTCACACCATCCCAAAAATTTGAGCCTCCACTTATTTACGGCATAGGAGTAACTTCAATTTGCCGGCCCGTTCAACACAAACGAAAAAAGCATCAACGAGACATGTGGATTGCGCGCACAGAAACATTAGCGCGGGCCGAAAGGACCACCGTACCCACCTTGCACATCTTCTGCGCCATCGCGGTGCCCCCCTTGAGCCTCAGCGGATACCTCGACTTCTTCACCTTCTTGTTCAAGGAAATCAAGCAACGGTAGCGGACGTAGAAGTCCTGGACAGGCGTTTTTTCGGACGGAGAATCGGGGACAGCGGGAGGGGGGGNTCACATGCAGCCCAGTCGCAGCTGCCGAAACGCCAGTCACAGAACCCACCGCAGCTGTCGCGAGAAGGGCGACCTTGGCGGACGTTAGCAGAACCTGCCAGTGGTTTGCACGGCGGCGGCGGCGGTGGCGGCCAGCAATGGGGGGGAGGGGGGGGGGGGGGGGACACATCAGGACAGGGACCTGTGGGGGGTGCGGGGTGGGGCGGGGTCCCGCAAAAAAGATCACGACCAACAGGTATATGTAGGTTTACGAAGTGTTTGGGCTCTCAATGGCACGAGCAACCGAGTCGACATCGACTCCCTCCCTCACCGCCACGATAAAACGTGCAGTAGCCATCGCATGTTTTTTCGATCAGGTTAACATGTTGGACAAAGCATGCCATCGGGGGAAGTTGGGTTAGGGTTTAGGGAATAGGGTCGGCGCACCCCTTCCCTGCCCTCTGTCCTCATAAACCTTATTCATCACGCGAAGGTGATCCTAAACGTGTCACTCCTCTGTCATGGCACGAGCTGACTTGCATCCAACACGACTAGTCGTCGTAGGTGGCTGTCTCATATCGGAGGCATCGTCGTGCTTAGGACAACACAACGCGGCTCACGTTCAGGTCCGGTGGCAGTAGCAACAGTAGCAACAGTGGCGGTAGCAGCAGGACTAACTGAACAACGGGGAGGGTCTTGTCTCCCGTTTCTACGCTGCAATAACCATTTCAAGAACCTGCCTGCTTGTGCATGCCAACTGGAACCAAATAGCCAAGAACAGGAGCACGATGGTTGTTCTCCAGCGTTGCATTTGACGGTGACAGTTTCAAGCACGGCACGGTAGACATACCTTGTGGGGGAGACGGACGGGGTATCCAGATCGGGCGACTCGGACGGCCTCCAACACGCCTCCGTACCGTAGCTGCTCCATGACCCGCACCCTCGACACCTCGTCGGGCTCGGCGTTGTCATTGGGCTTGATGCAACGGATGTAGTGTGGACGTGTGTCCCTGATCCAAGGCGAGGCGAATAACGGAGCAAAGACAACAAGGAGAGAAAACAAAAAGCAAAGTAGAGGGGTGTAACGTCTCGTACCTATATTTCCATACTAGATAGTGCGGCCGTGCCTCCCTACCTCGCTCACGGGTTCGACACTCTGTAGGGTACAGGGGGTATCACAGAACCTTCCATGATATTCTGTAGGGTACGGGGGCTGTTACAGAACGCACAGAATAATCCATTAGGGTACGGGGGATGATACAGAACTTTCTGTGCAGATGGGGTATTGTGAAACAGAACTATTCTGTAGGGTACAGGGGATACTACAGAACGGTCTGTGCCTCTCTGTAGGGTAATTACAGAGGGTAATTACCCCCGGTATAGGTCTGTGAGTACCCTACAGAACGCACCCAAATATCATGATGAAGACACAACAAAGCGGCCGACTATTCATAGAAGACGCCGTTGTTGTTCGCAGGTCGAACAGCTCTTCTTCGCACAACAACAACAGCGCCACCGATTTAACCCGGGCTTCAACTTGACACCGCCCACAGCCAGACAAACAACTGCCCCCGAAACACCATTGCTGCGCTCGACACACACCACCATCGCGGCACGCCTTTCACACACAACCGTTTGCCAAAGAACCCAACCTGATCATGTCCATGAGGTCGTGTAGCTGCCCCCGAAACTGTGTACCCACGGTGGGCTTGAGGCCCGCGTATCCGGGCGAGTCCTTCTTGCTGGTGTTGGGGTTGGTGCTGGACTGGCCGGGTGAGATGGGTCTCTTCCCCTTGCTCCTCGCCTTCTTACCTGCGGCAAGCAAACGTCATCACAGCATCCTCAACACACACGCAAAAAACACTCCGACAAATGTGGTGACGAAAACTGACATCGTGACACACGAGGAGATGGACTCTTCCCCTTGCGCTTCGCCTTCTTGCCTGCAGAAAAGAGACGTTGTCCAACATCGTCAGCACACACACACACACAAGAACGCAAATGCGCGGCAATCAAAAAACGATATCGCACAACGCACTCGAACAAAGCGCGTATCGTGACAAATGCAACACCACATCACATAATTCCTTTCATCTTGGTCTTGCCCGTCGTGGTATGGCTCGCTCGACACAAGAATATCGTCAAGCATTTGTCTCTTCCCATGTGCATGTGTAACGTGGCGACCATTACCGCGGCAAACAAACACCAACGCCTCCGTAGATGCGATCGAGACATGTTGATAACGTAACACGACGATTGAGGGGGGGGTACAAAAATAAATGGTGTGTGTACGGGGCAGGGGGGGGGGGGGGNGGGGGCTGCTCACCTCCCGTAGGAGAGAAAAGGTTGACGACGAAATCGCTTTCGCTGCTGGCGAACAGCACGTCGGACTCGTTGGGAAGCTCGTCCTTGTTCTTGTCGCAGAACGTGTGGACATTATACCGCACCTGCGGCGTGATCGCACGGCCCCGGCAGAACGGCTCAAAGTTCGCTCCAAGCATCGCACGAAGTTATGCTACGAGAAAAAGAAAGAAAAAACAAACCTCGGAATGTATTGAAGGTGATTCTTCGGTGGCACATGTCAAACAACATGAAGCCACCTACAAATCATCCACCCCAGCTCGAAACAGACAGTTTTCGGGGTGAACACACATCGATCAACGCAGCGAAAAAAATGGTTATTCAAGTTGACTTGCACAATAAGAAATAATAAAAAAGAAAGCAGGGGGGCACGGTGAGTTAGTTGACTTACATGGCCGGCGTAGTGCTTGATGGCGAAGCACAGCTTGGTCCGCATGGCGCTGTCCGCCTCGAACCTCTCCGCCTCCCCGTGCTCCCGGTACAGCCGGCTGAAGTAGTTGGCGTCGGTGCCCCGGATGCCCAACCGGCACTCGTCGTCGAGCATGGTCAGCAGACCCTTCTTCTTCCCCTCGATCAGGTCCAGGCAGTCCTGCGGGGCAAACGATCGCACAAAACTCAACGCAATCAGCTTTAGGGCATACCGGCTTCCCCCCAGGAAAGGATGTGGACTATGACGAGACGGCGACACTCTCGTTGACTCGCCCTGTGACAACACAGACATGAAACCGCACTGAATAATACCTTTCCAGTCCACACTGCCGGACAACGCTCAATCCCTGCTGAACGGCAGGCAGCAACAAGGCAAGGCACTCGTTACAGTACCTGGTTGTCTGGGAACTCCACAAAGGACCACTCGATCCCCTCCTTGCTGTACTCCTTCTGCTCCATCTTGAACACGAACTGGTTGAACTGCTGCTGTAGAGTCTCGTTCGTGTAGTTGATGCACAGCTGCTCGAAGCTGGTCACGATTTCGGGTCACCAACCAGTTCATCATAGAGCCAGCCAGCCAGCCAGGAAAACCAGAGTTCAGACACGACATCAGCAGCGGCAGCAGCAGCAGCAGCAGCAGCAGCAGCGGTAGAGGCAGCACACGACATGCCATGGCGAAGGAGGGGTTAAAGGTGAGGTTCTGGACCCTTCCGGGCAGCGTGGTGACTGGGGATTGTGGACACGTACACAACCCCAACCCTAACCCAAATGCACCCAAGCTGCTCGTGCTGCAAACTCAAGTTACCACCCATCATCCATCCTGCTGGGCCTCGGACAGCACTTAAACCTTCAACTCCTACGGCAAGACCTACAGATCTCATGGCGGCTCGAGCAACACTCCCGCCCAAACCACGCCAACAGCAAACAACGTCACGACCCACGCCACAGCAATCGAATCGACCACGCTAACGAACGCACCTGTTGTGCTCGAAGCACTCGAACCCGAAGATGTCCAGCACCCCGACGGAAGCCTTAACCTGCCTGCGGTCGCAGTTGATGTGCGAGTTGATCGTGGCCACCAGCCAGTCGAACAGCTGCCCGTAGAAGGCCTTCGCCAGGGCGTCTCGAGCGTCGTACGCCTGGTGGTCGGTGAGCTTGATGGTTGTCTTCTCCTTTCTAGGACCGACCTCGATGGTCTTGGACGTAAGGGCACGCAGCAGACCCTCCTCCGGCAGGTAACACAGCCGGCACACCCGAGCCAGGCAATCCCTTGGTTTGGAGGCGAGGGTTTCAGGGGAGGGAGGCGTGTCATCACCAGGCAAGCGGTGTCTGTCGAAAACAAAGAACAAAACTATAACGATTTGACATCGACAAGCACAACTATTAACGCCACCAACGACAGAGACAGCAACAGCAGCAGCTGCCAAAAACAGCAGCAAAAACACTGACCACAAGAGCACGCCAACCGGCGCAACCGCTATGGCCACCCACCTTAACACAACAATAGCAACACCATGAACAAGACTGCAGCGTGTCAACAACAGCAGCATCATCAACAACACTGAAGCGTGTCAACAACAGCAGCGGAAACAACGGCGTCAACGCCAACAAAGACTATAATAGAACACCGCAGCTGCAGCGCAACCAACAATGGCCAAGACAAACGACGGTCTTGTCCCTCTCACTCGTTATCGTCCTCGTGAAACAGCACCGCTGCATCGTCCTCCTCGCTAGCCTCGAACTCGAGCTCTCCGAGGTGGATAAGTCCCGCCATGATGTCGAAGATAGTCTGGATCGAGCTAGCCTCGAAACCCATCGTCTGGTCGAACCAAACAGAGGCAATCCCCCCCCCCGCCCACGGCACGCGGCAATGTAAAGATGAATACGCGAAACAGACGAAGCAAAGCGCCAAGGTCATGCAGTCCACAAGCATCGAACGATGGCAGTCACTCGGCAGGCAAAGCAAGCAACAGCTAAGAGACCAAAGTGACGGTAGGCGGCAAACTAGAGATGAGCACGAGAAAAAGGAAACATCGGCGAAACCACGAGAAGCCTTCGAGTCGAGAGGGAGAGCCCGGGGTGCCCTGAACGACCTCCACGAGCATCGCACGACCCGATAAACCTAGCAGCAGCGAGAGACACTAATGTGGTAGGCTTCAAGGTTAAGGTTCTCACCGTAAGAGCGGCCTTCGTCTTCACGAACTCATCCTCGTCCTCCACTTGTCGGAGGTCGTAGCAGTCACCCTGGTTCACGAAGTGATACTCCTCCGGACCTGAAACAAATCGCCAATCGGAGGCCGGTTCGAACGGGACCGGGAACCCGATTCGTCGAGCAACCCGCTGAAGGCACGAAATGTATTCGCCTTCACACTCTGTCTCGACGGTGACCCAACACCCCGCGACACCCACACAAATCAAAGACAGAACAAAGAAGACTCACGCCCGCAAGCAAGCAAGCAAGCAAGCAAGCAAGCATTCACGACAAGATACCCGACCGCCACCCCCCGCCCCGGAAACAACAAGTACGTACCCCCCTTTTCCCTGAAACTTGAACTCCCTCAATCGGCATCGCCAAGAGGCCCCATCGACCTTACAGCAGCAACATAGCCTCCAAGCAAGCGCAGTCGACGATGAACCTCTCACACCTCACACACATGAGAAACGGGTGCCGATGTACTCAGAGGAATCTGGACACCTCGAGGGACCACAGCGGCGGCGAGGGCCAGACCCAAGGCCCCCCGCCAAGTAGAAAAGTAAGCAGTGACACGGTACCCCCATACCGCCCCCGGCCTACATCCTTCCCCCTCCTTGCCTGCACCAACTCCGGGCAATCCGTCCTGATCCTCAAGAAAAGACTGAGCAAAATGAATCAAGATTTTGGCCAACAGAACCCTCCCCCCCCTCTTTTCTGCCCGTTCCTTCTTCCCACCTTGCAGCTCCCATCGCTCTCGTTCCTCGTCGTCGCCCCCCTTGCACATCTGGTAGAAGATGTGAAAATTTCTCTCGTCGTGGGCCTGGGTAGGGATACGCACCTAAAGAAAGAACAAAAGTAAGCAAGCAAGAAAGAAAAAAACAGAGGAGTGTTGGTGCTGAGGAGAAATCGTACCGAGCGGAAAGAGCACCGGGCACCGACATCAACATCAGTCTCGCCGATTTTTTACCACCACACTTGTTGTTGGTCGAAAGGAAACACAACAAAGTCTTTTCTCCACCAAACATAAGAGTTCGGGATAGAGATCAGCAGTGCAAATAAATTACTATTACGGTGGCACATAATTAATAGGAGCAAATCAAAAGATATGCGTTTCAGAGTGTAACTTTCGCAATACGATGCGCAGCGTAGCATACGATAGCGCAAATTGACGATAGGGGAAAGGCGGTTACGATGAAACAATATACATATATATATATATCTTGAAAATTGCTTGAGTTATGGCTTGCCGTGTACCTGAGCAGAGACTCAAAATCGGAAATAATGCCCAGGAACATCCGGCCAACATTGGTATCCCCACTTCTCGGTCTGTAACTAACATTTTTAAGCGCCTGTCGGCATACAGCAGTAGCGCAAAACGCTTCCATGACGAAGGCGGTCAATACGCAAGAAGATAAAACATGAATGCAGTTGACGTGTGGCAAGCTGCATCCGGGGTAAAGTTTGTCGACATTTGAATATTTTGGATTTTTTTTTCAAGGACAACTGCAGCAGCTGGAAGCAGGGACGCATTCCTTCGCGCATAGCAATCACATATGTGTGCTGCTGCACGCTCCTGCTCAAGCTTAGCGCTGCGTCTGTCCAGGGTCAATGCATCTCTCGCCGCTGCCGTCTTGGCTCTCTTTCTCGCCTTCATCTCGCGTCCACCGACACCGCCGGTGGGCTTGTTCCTGCCCTTCGGTTTTGTCATCGGCCGATAGCTGGGGGAGGCCCCTCTTCCAGCGTGTGGTACTCGACAACGGCTGCGTTGTTTCAAAAGCTGGTCTGATGGTCCCGCGAGCCAAATCATAGGATTGACAAAAAGTTCTACTTGCGTTGCTATTTCTTCGTCATTTTGTTTTTTTTCGCCTCCCCACATAAAAATAAAGTCAAAAAGTACTCTACACATCGCCGGCCACGGCTGTACCTTGTCGTTATCTGATGAGAGCAAGACCAGGCTCATTTGAAAGCTGTGGTTACCATCTTTCATTTGATATGTAGTAGGTCTACTGCCCTAGCTTTACTGTGTATATAAAGGCTTTGGACCATAATGTTTGTTTCCTGCGATTGAAAAACAATTGCGGAAACGCCTTGTTCAGATTTTTTTTTTTTTCGCCGGAAGAAAGCAAAAATTTGCTCCGATAAATTATGTGCCACCGTAATACCTTACCTTTTCGAGAAGGTAGGTCTCGATGCCCGCGCCCAGCAGGTTGCCCCGCTTGTCGAACATGAGCTCGATGAACTTCCCGAAGCGGCTCGAGTTGTCGTTACGGATGGTCCGGGCGTTTCCGAACGCCTCTAGGATGGGATTGCTCTGCAGCACCCTGTCCATGATCGACCCCTTCTCCAGCTCGACCCCGCCCTCTCCGTTGCCCACCGTTGTCAAGTACCTGTGGGGGGAGGCGTTTCCGGACCCGGCGGGAGGGGAGGGGGGTTGTAGGAGGACCAAAGACAAAATAGATGCTTCCGGCAACGGCCGGGAAAATCAGGCCATCAAGATGAAGTTTGGTTCCAGCGTGGCAACTGGTTATCACCTCTGGATAATTCCGTCTGGCATGTGAAAGGGTTTTGTCACAAGGGGGGTATGGAAACCATATCGACTTCACCTCCGCAAGGGCACGCCAAGGCCATGCACTCGTATACGGCAACGCTTTCAGGACGTCACAGGCTGCCAGGACACTCGACGATAAACTGCACGCCTGCCGGTCCATCATGCAGCAACGTTCACCACGGGCACTGGTTGTCACTGAAAAAGTACGGTACTAGTCGTGACTGCTAAATGACCGCAGTGGACATAGGCTGGTGTGGCTCCAGCGCATTGCGAACGTGACCTGGCAGCGACTACTAGTGCCAGGCTGCATGATAGACCAGCGTGCCTGTAGTTCATCGTCGAGTGTTCCAGATACCGTTGCAGGCTGTGAAGGCGTGAAGGCCCTGCCACATGGGAGCATGGTGTTGGCGTACCCGTATCTTGTCAACCTAACCTGTCTCCCGGGGCTGAATCTAGCGACAACCGCGCACAGGCAACGCTGGTGTTATTCTACGACGGCTTCCCGACACACACACCGGCCGCGAAACACCCACCCTCCCATTTCCAACCGCACCTCCCTCTGCTGTGTCGGGGCTCCCTATGCAACCACCTTGGCGAGCCCTTAACGGTGCCGATAACGTAACCCATCACCCGGGACGGAAGCTAGCCACAATCGCGTACAGGCAACACTGTTGCTATTCTACGACAGCAGAGGCGGCTCCCCAAAACAAACATCCGCCGCAGGGAAACACACACCGTCTCATTACCACCGCTTGCCGATTAATGTGAAGACAACAACAACCGCAACTACTCCTGCTCTGCCGGGGTTCCCTATGGAACCACATCACTCTAGTTCTTCGTTGCCGACTCAAGCCTCAGTTGCACGCTTGTGTGTACCTCATGACGAACTTGGTGCTCTCCGTCTTTCCGGCGCCGCTTTCTCCGGAGATGAGGATGGACTGGTTCACCGGCCCCATGCCCGCCGACTTCCCCGCGTCCATACCCTGATGTTTTTTGCCAACATCAAACGAAAAAAAGAGCGTAGCACGTGCGCACAGCGGGCGTCCAGTTGAACTTCACGCCTCGCTGCTTCTGTCGGCGCGACACATACCGATAACATAGGCGACGAAACATACCACACCGTTGTGATAACTTTTCGCGGTATCGCGTGCGTGCGGTGACTTGTATGGCCCGTGTGATACGTTGCACTTGCAGGACCCCAGGCAACAGCAGGGGATTGTCATCGCTAGGGGGGGTGATTTCTTGCGTCAAGCACATGATAACAGTTGACTCACAGGACCCCATGAACGAGTTGTGTAACAAAGGGGTTTTGTGACCCGTGTGATGAACTACGCTCACATGGCATACGATACGCTCATAACTCCATTCAGCCACTGCGCCCTCGCGGGCATTTGTGGTGCTGCTGGAAACACCTCCCGCTGCCGGCAGCATCGGACGAGGGGGTTCCAGCAGGACAAGGGACAAGGAGGGAAGTGCATTTCATACCCTAGGGGTAATGTGTTGTGCCACGGCGTACACGAGAAAACTCCCCTAGAGAAGGGTATGCACTTCCCTCCTTATCCTTATCCTGCTTCCACTCTCTCGCTCGATGCCGCTGGCGGTAGAGCAATTCTCACGCCTATGGCAGCAGCGCAATGCCAGCGCCATCTACAGCCTGAATGGCTGCGCCCTGAATTCTACGGCAGGAATTGGAAATTAATTCTCAGGGTAGCGCTGGTGACGCGATAAACAGATGGGTAAGTCCTGACTGTGCACAGAAATCTGCGGAAGCAATCAAGTAAAATCTTGACACCCACAGCTGTTCAGGGTAAGCTATTACAGTCAGCCGGTGGATACAAGCTGCCTGGCTGTACCCTCAAGTCTACGGCAGGAAGATGGCAACATCTCGATGCCCACCGCTGTTCAGGGCAAGCTGTTCTCATCACCCGGCGTACACCCACTGCCCCGTGCACTAGACGGACCGGTGCAAGGCTGCGACGAAGGAGCCAATGCCGGAGGCCTCCTACGCCCAAATATCCAGCCTTTACGACGGACTCATCAAACAAAGCGTTCCCAAGTCCAAGATCTACCACCACTACATGGCCTTCAAAGACACGCGACGGCCCGGGTTGGTCGTTCCCGCAGAAAGCGCGGGTGGAACCGAGTCTGAACCTTGCCTTGGGACGTGGATCTCAACACGAGGTGGCGGGCTAACAAGAAGCTCAGCGCCGAGGGACGCCGCTAACGGCGGCGGGATCTCGGCCGGTTCGGAGGAGGGTGAAACGTCGTCCAAGATGACTACCGATTTGTTGGGGTCGTTGGACAATCGACCACGACGAGAGCACTACGCTAAGGAGCAAGGGTGACATGGTCACACGGGCGACGTTATCGCATCTCTTCTCTTCACATCCCCTGTTGGTACTGTCGTCCGACGTTGTAAGAGAAGCCAATTCACTTCGTGAACTCGGCAACCAGGTTACCGTTGTTTTTTTTTTACCTCTGCTTTTTGGCGGTAACCATAATGGTGGTCGAGTAGATCATGTTGTACGGGGTCGAGAACCCTCACTCCGCGCAAGGGGGATGATCGCACCACGTTGTGTTAAAATGGTCAAGCACCCTCGAGGCAGTTACACAGTGCTTACAACTGTCTCTGGAAGTGAAAGCACCAGAAAATAAATTAAGTCATACGCAGCTGTCATCCGTACGCAAGGAAGTAAGCACAAGATGCCGAAAACCCTTAGCAGGATGCAGCGCACCCTTCATGCGACTCGCCGAATATCTCACGGCGCTTCGCGCTTGGTGATGTGAGAGCCTGGTCCGGTGAGAACCCGGCGTGCTCCGTCCCGGCTTTGTAGGGATGCGAGGTCAATGGTCTTAACGACTACGGCATGCACGACAATGAGTACACTCCCCCCCCGCCCCCGTACAGAATACCACCGGTGAGAAAACTGAAAACTATCACAATGTTCATCACACCGGTGTGTGTGATATCTGATGTCACCGACAACGGATGCTGCTGAGCACGCACAGAGAAACAGCAGCAACACAAACCCATCACTAACAACAACAGCAACTAAAGACGACCGCCCACCTTCATCATGTCACGGTAGGCAGAGTCCGCAATCGCGAAAACGTGCGGCCCGAGCGCCTGCGGCGGTTCTATCCCCTGCTCCCGCATGCACCCCACGTCGAAGTGCTCCGTCAAGAGCTCCTTGCCGTAGATAGGGAGCCTCTTGAAAGGGTTGATCGCGAGCAGGATGGCGTTTGCCGTGAAGGTGTAGATGTCCCCCCTGTCGAAACGCCTGCACAGGGAATGCAGGATGGCCGCCTCGTGCAGGTGCGGCAGTGCGATGAGGTCCTCCACGTGGTCCATTTCCGCATCGTTCGCCAACTTAAGGTCCTCCAGCTCGTAGCCTTCTTTTCCCATCCCCAACACCACCGAACAAAACAACGGGAAACGCCAAAACAAATACAGACGAGAAGAGTAGGGGGAAAAGGGGAGACGGAGTGCACCAACATGGGGGGGTCCGGGGATGCGCAAGGCGTGTCAGCGCTTGTGTTGTGTCAAGTAGAAGACACACAGACAGACAGACAGACAGACAGAGAAGGAGAGCAACGCATGATGCCAGTTCGTTGGTAATCCTGTCTTACGTAGAGGGGAAGCAGGGGGCGGATAGTAAGGTGGGCAATAAAGCACAAAAAAGGCCTTGTGTTTAACCTTCCCCCTGTGTAACTGACGGCGCTTCGCGCTTGGTAATGTAAGAGCCTGGTCCGGTGAGAACCCGGCGTGCTCCGTCCCGGCTTTGTAGGGATGCGAGGGCAATGGTCTAACGACTACGGCATGCACGACTATGAGTACACTCCCCCTGTGTAACCCCGGCTGATGCGGCATGTACATACCGAGAAGAAGGTGTAGGCTGGCACCAGAATAGACAGGACAGACACAAAACACACAACCCTCCGTGGCGATGTCCGTCTACCTCAAAACCGACACAACCTTGGTGGTCACAGCCCAACGCAACACAGCAGTACCCCACAAAAAACCCTTGAAATGCCTCGTGTTGTCCGTGCGAAGCGCTCGTGCCCGTCACCGCATCCAAGGCAAACAGAGCTGTTGTAGGTACTGTTTCATGCTGAATCGTGTTTGGTCATGCGTAGAGGATTAAGTCGCGTTCCACTCTTACCTTTGTTGTTACACTTATCTCTTGCTAGGGTTATCATCGCACCCCGGTGTCGAGACAACAATTGGGTGCCAATACGCCGATACCAGAGCGGAAATGCAACAAAATCACATGCTGCCTTTTTTCTGTTTTTATGCACCCCGGTCGGTACCATAACCCTGAGGGGTGCGAACTCGGCTCTACTCCCATACATAGGGGTCCAAAAAAAAATTACATTATTTCGCGCGAAGCTCGAAAAAGAACGGGCGGAGAAAGAGACGCAGGCGTAGATAGACATGGATGGAGCCTCACAGAGAGGCCACGACTGCTACTGCACACGCCCACTCATCACCCATCACCACCAGTCCGCCGTGTACGCAGGACTGCTCCTGTTTAGAAGCGCGGGGAAGAATGAAAGTGTTGTGTGGTGTGGACGAAGCTCTCATGAATCATCATCATCAGCTGCTGCTGCTGCTGTCGCTGTGTGGATGTGCACCACTTACTCTCGTAGCAGCGGCAACGGGCTCTATAAATCGCCCCCGACGCCCTCTATGTGTGTGTATTCGGTCGCCTTGGCCGGCAGCGTGTATACATCTATCTCATTGTCTCTCTGTTTTCGGGCGCGTCTGTTGCGGAGGAAGAGAAGATAGATCCGCCCGCAGACAGACCGGCGAAGATAGCCGCACATTGACTTGTGTGCACTTGCTTCACTCGCTTACGCTGCCAGCAGCAGGCAACGGGCTTCAAAAATCGCTCTCGATGCTTCGTTTGATGTATTCCTTTGGCCGTCTTGGCCTGCAGCGGTTTGTACGGCTCATAAGGTTAGGCTTAGGGATACACCACTGCTGTGTAGCAAGCTCAAAAGATCGGCCTCAGCAGCAGCAGCAGCAGCAGTAGCAGCAGCAGATTTGACCTGTGCCGCCTCCCTCGCGTGTGGTGCTGCCGACAGCAGCCAACCGGCTCTGACAGTCGAACCCGACCTCCTATTATGTGTGCGTTTGGCTGCCCTTGGTCCACAGCAGTCCCGTGTGCTGCTGTGCTGGTTGTCTCGTGTTGTCTACGTGTATCATGTGCTGCTGCTATGCTACGTCTTTCGGGGGATTCTCGGCGGCGTGGCCATCGCCCAATCATCTGTCTCTGTTCTACATAATGTCATACACAGTCGACATGTGATTGGTGGGAGAACGGCATCTACCCGGCTCTACCCCTCTAAAATTTCGATGATTTATTTTGTTCTTCGGGACCAACATAATTTTGGCCCTACGTATCGGTGCTCTGCCGCGGAATCACCAACATGGGTGCCATTAACACGCACAACTACGGGTACGCCTACATGGACAAAAGCGGAAACCAAGATAAAGAACCGATCGGTATCGTTGCAATTGTATTTCGATATAACCTTTCTAAACGGACGTTTTAAGCAACTCCGCGGTGCTTACCTACGTGTACCAGTACTACGATGGTATCAAACAAGCATGATCAAGTACTGCTGTATGCATTGCCTTGTCGACATGTTTAGATCTCCAAGGGGATGCCTCAAGTCTTGAGGGAGGACTAAAGCAGTACGTACATACGCACCTGCTGGAGAATTATCATGAGGAGCCAAAAAGGTGGAACAGCAGTAGTTCAAGAGTGATGTTTTTTTTTTTTTTTTCCGTACAGGTATGCCATACATGTACCCGTCGTGTGTGTGTATGCATAGGATTGCGCACAGGAGTATTCAAGAGCGAGAGTGCCCGGGGGGAGGCACGTGGCCGGTATGTACTTGTACACGTGGAGAGAAGAGGTGTAATTCAAAGACAACGCATTCTTGTGAAGTATAGCGCACGTGCAACGAGATAAAGATATGAAAAGCGCAAGGCGAGCGAAGGAGGAGTGCAGCAGTACAAAGAAGGGCAAGAAGGTCGTGTGGCGCCGGCACGACCGCACGCGCATGACTTCCTATGATAGGAACGGTGGGGTGTGCGCCTCTCCTCAAGGAGGTTCCGGTTTGTTCGGATGACATTTTTTTTTGAAAACATCAGGTTCAAAATAACGTCACTTGTTACGCATGCAACGGCAATGTTTCCAAAGGACGTGTGGGGGCATAGCAGCGTTTGGGGATTGTCCGCCACGAAGAGGAAGGACCCAAGCGCCTCCTGGGATATCATGCTGGGTATCTACCCCGCTGTTCATGTTTGGGACTCTGCTGTGTCTACATACCATCACTGCTGGGATTGGGTCAACAACGAACGTCAGCGCTTGAGTGTGAATGTTGACGCTCTCGCAATGGGGTACTTGCTGCTACATACATGTACCTCACCATCGTCTTCGCTTATCGTGAACGTGAGAGGTTCCTCCGAGACGTCTTCCTCCACCTCGACCTTGACGGTGCAAGGCTTGCCGGCCGCGCTCCTCTCCAGCACCGTGCCTGCAACCCAGGCCTCCTGCTTGTCCCGCACCCACACCGCGGCCCCGGCCTCCATCTTCTGCGCACTAGTCCCTCCCTCTCGTCAAAGCAACACCGTCGCCACGTGCCTTCCCCCCACCCTCTTGCTGTTGCTCAAGAGCGCCTGTTCGATAGGGTAGTAGCAAACCAGCGTGGCGTGGTCGAACGCGATGGGGACCCTGCCGATGTCTGCACTTGCAGCTCGAGCTTGTGTTGCAGTTCGCAACAGCAGTAGCAGGGGCACCACAGATAGCATCCCGGTGCGTGCGCATGGGATACCAAGATATGAGTCCCAGGGTATTCAATGGCGTTGCCCCCATTAACTCTCCGAAAATGTGTTGTGGCGTGCTGGGTGCTGGGTGTTGGCCGTATGTCCAGCAGTGGCGCCTGAAGCTCTTTCAGGGCGAGACCCCTTAGGCAAAGTCCACAGTAGTGCCCAGGGCTAACAGAGCAGGGAATCGCGCAAGCAGGAAAGAGGATCTAGGTCCGCTGCGGGCCTGCTGGGGAAAGCCGCCATGATGATGGAATCAAGCTCCAACGGGAGCACGGTTGCCAATGCTGCTGCCGCTGCCCTTGGCCAAGACGGACCAATTGCCATAGACGTGGATGGCATGATGTGGTGAGCTTTGACGTGTCGACATAACGAGATAGCATACCTTCTGCAGTGGTGGGCGGTTCAGCGTTGTCGCCGGTCCTCTGGCGCTCTCTCCCCCGTCCGACGCCCCAGTGTTGTTCAACAGAGCTTGTCTTTTTGGAATAGAAAATACCGGCGCTTGCTGACAGGAGAGATAACCCGCAGCAGCGCAGCAGCACTTTTCATCTTTCATCAGGCTCCTGGCGGCTTTGTTTGCAAGAGGCTACTGAGCAGTTCCAAAGGTTCGCTCGTAGGTGTGATGGCCTCCCTATCCATCAATTGGCTTCGCATTCAGCTTGTGATTTCAAAGGAGCTGGCGACACAAACTATCGAGCTCGGCACCCCTCAACGGCGAAAGAAACGGATTCAGTTCGTAGTGTTCGTTTATTTCCCTTTATTTTATTTACTATTCCAGCAACCGCATTTTGCCCTGCTGTTCCAGCTTCTTGGCGAGAGGCAGGTTACAACCCATCTGTGTGTTCCCTGTGCTCCTTGGAGTTGTGTGCATTCTTCCTAACTTGCATTGGACGAGAACCCTAGAATTCTTTTCGATGTTGCAGCGTCGCAGCCAGCACTGCTTGTTCCTTTCCCCGCAGGGGGCCAGTGGTCTACATCTTGGTTTCGATACAGCAGTACAGCGTGATGCAAGATACCCCCTAAACGGTTTTCACAGCTTGATTTCTCCATGACATGAATCTATACAGGGCCGAAAACGAAGGCGTTGAACCTGTCTCGTCGAGATCGTTACGAAAACGTATGGTTTCATAGATGTATCCTTTCTGCCGTGGAGTTATCGGGCTGTGAAAATCGATCCGCGGGGTGTGATATCTTGTGTCACGTACGTTATGTATAGACCGACAACCAGAAACGGGTATACCTGGGTACTTTATCACCACTCTAGGGTACACTTAGAAATCAACGCGCTTGCACCCGCAGGCTGTCAGTTGATTGACCGAAAATCCATCGTACCCATTTCAGAAGAAACCTCCATCGGGTACAACACCGCTGGCATTAGGACCCTCTGGTGTGACCGATATTGGTTACAGGTGTACCAGGTAGAGGTCGATTTTGTACCCAGAAATGGTCAAATATTCCCGGCGCTCGATGCTCTAGCATGAAAACCACAGAAAAAAACGTGTACCGCACATACCGCGTACCGCACATACATCTCCCCAACCGAACCACCAACAACGCTCGCTCGTTGATGGGGACTGCCTCCATAGGATGCCGGCCCCTCTCGACAGAGGGTCGGACTCGCTTGACGCGCGAGTTTGTTCGGTGTGGTGCTGATCAGTAAAAGCACACACAGAGAGAGAGGCACACAGAGAGAGGAAAACGGGCACGACCTGCCTCGTGCATCATTTTTCCGAGGCACAGGACACAGGACACACAGCGGTTGATTGGTTTCGCCGCGATCTACGGGGGATGCTGTCGGAGATTGGTGTCGTGTTGATTTCCAAGTGTACCCTGAAATGGTGATAATCCACCGGGGTATACCTAAACTCTCTTATGTATACCCGTCACCAGCAGGGCGTACTCAAAATACCGCTCATTTGTGGCGAGTCCAGCAGCGAAGACACCATCTACTTACCTCGCGATAGACGCAACAAGCATTTAACACCATGAACATGTGTCGTAAGCACACAAACACACCCCACCCCGCCGCCGGCACTGCACCCTGGGTCCGACGATTCCCGCTGGCTCCAAAAAGACGGGATATCTCGAACGGATAGTCTTGATATTATGTTTTCTCTCTCAAAAAGATGGTAAAACATCTACCCATTATTGCGCCGCCGCTGCATGTCTGTTTCCGGATGACATCTGTGGGGGTGCACGTACGCCGAAAAACAAAATCTTAATGTTGTCATTTCTGATAGCTGTACCCTGGAAACCACGCCGGCAACCGTTCAGAATTGACATCTGTCTTCGCTTTGGATTCGGGCACGTTTTCCATCCTTTCAGCAATGGCGTTGGGCTACCCTCAGCAGTAGTGGTGGAACTCCTGCGCTACAGTACGTGTCTAGGAGAAGACAGCGAATACTTTTAGTTCTCAGGCGCAAAAGCAGCTTCTACATACTGCTTTACAGCAGTCGTCCCTAATCACACATGGATTTTCAGTAGAACAGGCGTCCGTAAGCCGGGGAAGTGTGCTTTTGATTGATACCGCCCCCCGTGGTGTTGTACATTCTGCGGAGCAACATGCCTGTTCCATAAAAATGTGTACTTTTGTTTAATCCCCCCGTTAAAAACCCATCCATGGTGCACGTGCCCCTCCCCTTTCCGTTGGTAAACAACTGCTGTGCGTCACCACCCCCGTCGGTTCGCGAAGCCAAAACAACTGCGGCAGCACCGTGAAAAGGGCGATCGAGGCGGTGCCGGGGGTATCTCGCGCCGAGGTATCCTTCGCCGCTCGACGCGCATGGGCCTGGCTTTCTCCCTCTTCCTCCAGCAACACAGCGGGGCAGCGACAACAATATCACGCCGCCCTTGGCAGCAGCCTCGACGATGTTGCCGGTAACGGCGGCGCAACCAAGGGCTCCGAAGAGGAACAAGTAGGAGGTAATTCCGCCGCCGTTTGTGCGGAGATCCTGGAGGCCGTGGAGGCCGTGGGTTTCGGCGCCGAGGCGTCACCCGACGTCGAGCTCCTGGTCGGGGGCATGATGTGCCAGAGGAACTGCGGGACGACGGTGAAGAACGCTCTCCTGGCCGCCTCCCCGAGCGTCGCCAGAGCGGAGGCATCCTTCGAGGAGGGGCGCGGGAGGATCTGGATCCGAGCCGCGGCGTCAGGGTTGGGTGGACCGGAGGTAGGCGGCGGCCTCGTCGCCGGCGACAAGGAAGCGGACGGTGGCGGTGGCGGCGGTGCTTGTGGTGGTGTCGGCTGTTTACCGGAAGCATCGTTGTCGTCGGATGAGTCCTCTGCCGTCGCTCGACTGGCGGTGGAGGCGCTCGAAGCGGTGGGGTTCGACGCCAGCTTGGCCCCGTCGGCGGTGCTGGAGATCGAGGGTATGATGTGCCAGAAGAGCTGCGGCACCACGGTGCACGGATGCTTGGAGGCCGTCCCCGGGGTCGATCGCGCCGAGGTTTCCTACGCGGATGGCCGGCTCGCGAGGGTCTGGGCACGGGACGGCCCCAGGCTCCCGGTATCCGTGCTGGTAGAAGCGGTGGAAGATGTGGGCTTCGGCGCACGAGTGGTGAGGGGCCCCGCAGAGAAGAACGGGGGTAGTGGTACCCCCCCGGCTGCGGAGGAAAAGCGACCATCGGGGGTCGGCGGTGGGGCAGGAGAGGCGGACACCAAGCTGCCGAAAGTGCTCCTTGGGAAGGAGGGAGGTGCTCGGGGTGGAGAGGTGGCGGTCGGGGTGTTTTCGGTGTCCGGTATGTCGTGCGCGTCGTGCGTCGGCAACGTGGAGAAGTTTGTTTCCGCCCTGGACGGTGTGGACGACGTTCGCGTCGCGCTATTGGCGGAAAAGGTGGGCCGCCCGCTCTTAGAAGAGTCGAGAGGGGGGGGGTGTACTCATAGTGGTGCATGCCGTAGGCGTTAGGCCGTTGACCTCGCATCCCTACCAAGTCGGGACGGAGCCCGCCGGGTTCTCACCGGACCAGACTCTCACATCAACAAGCGCGAAGCGCCGTGAGGTATTCGGCGAGTCGCATGAAGGGTGCGCTGCATCCTGTTAAGGGCGTCCGGCATCTTGTGCTTACTTCCTTGCATACGGATGACAGCTGCGTATGACTTAATTTATTTTCTGGTGCTTTCACTTCCAGAGACAGTTGTCAGCACTGTGTAACTGTCTCGAGGGTGCTTGACCATTTTTACACCACGCGGTGCGATCATCCCCCTTGCGCGGAGTGAGGGTTCTCGACCCCGTACAACATGATCTACTCGACCACCATTATGGTTACCGCCAAAAAAAAAAACAGAGGTGAAAAAAACCCCGGTAACCTGCTTGCCGAGTTCACGAAGTGGCTTGTTTAATAACGTCGTTGCCAAGCGACCAAAACCCAACCCCGATGGCAATTACCGGAGTGAAGGGGGGGGCGTGTATGAGAGGGGGGGGGGCGTCTTCATTTGTGAATGCAACGGGATTGAGGGAGGGGGAAAGAGGACGGCGGTGAAACTTAAGAGTACCACATTTACGTAGTATCACTACGACTAGTGCAGGTGTCATATTCTTTTTCTCTTTCAACAATTGATCATCGCGTTCAACCATTGATGTCTTCACATACCGTACAAAATATTCACACTACGGCAGTAGAGTCGGTGGGCCATTCAAGTCCTCTATCTTTATTCTCTCCCTCATCGGCTCCGTGCCCAAGCCAACCCGCATTATTTAACTTTCACCATTTTCTTCTTCCCCGATCCCCTCAAAACAAATCTCGGGGACAAAGGCGGAAGTACGCTTCGATCCGCGTACCACGAACGGACAGGAGCTAGCGGACGGCATTACCGGCCTGGGTTACCCCACACGACACCTCAGCAGCACCGTCTTGACCGGCGACGGGGCCGCAGGCGGCAAGGACGTGCCAGGCGCCAGCGACATCACCCTGGAGGTCTTCGGCGTGTCAGGGCCTGAGAGCGTTTCTAACGTGAGTCGACTTAGGCGCAGGCGTGTGCGTGTGTGTGGTAGGGGGGGCATACTCTTATGTTTTGTATGCCTCGGCGGTTAGGCCATTGACCCCACGCGTCCTCGAGAGGAAGCAGCACACGGTGGGAGGGGCGGTTGTTTGGTCGAGTTGTGGTACTTTCGCTTGGATGGGCTTGGTTTTTTGGGGCGCCTACTGCCACCCGCGGGCCATCTAGCTTCGGTACGGTTTATAGCGTTGCGTGCCGCCCGTTCCTGTCCGTCCGTCTGTCTTGTCTGTCTGTCTGCCTGTTGTCCTGTCTGTCTATCTGCCTACATGTCTGCCTGTCCTGTGTCTGTTTGCCTCTCTGTCCGTCTATCTACTTGTCCGTCTGTCTGTCTGTCTCTCTGTCTCTCTCTTGGCCTCCTTGTCCCAGCTGGAGGAGACCGTGTTAGCGCTTCCGGGAGTAGCCTCCTGCAAGATAACTCCCCCTTTCACCACCGGGGCGGGCGACGGCGGCACACCCAGGGGCGGCTCTTACAAAGGAAGCGGCGGCTTTCCCGCCTACGTCCTCACGGCCACTCGACACGCACCGCGGAATCCTGCGCGAAACAAGGCCACCGGTGCCCGGCGAGAAGGGCCCAGCGGTGGCGATAAACTGGCCGCCGACGTCAGCCTGGCTCTGGAGGGAGGGGACGGTGGTCGCTTGTCCCCGGCTTCGGGCTCGGCCGACGAGCTTGGTGGTGGCTGCAAAAGCGCCGGCAGTGACGATGCTGTGTGGGACGCTTTGCGGTCGGCGTTTCACTCGAGCGGTCGCCGAAGGCACGCGGGGGTGCGAGACGTCTTGGAGGCCGTGGGGGGGTTGGGGTACGAGGCCAGGGCGATCGCGGAAGGCGGGGGAGGTACCGACGCGAACTCCATGCAGGCGGCTCAGGTTTGTCGAGAGGGGTGTCGAAGGTTGACTTTTCGGTGTAAGTTTTTCGTTCTGAATGGTGGGAGTGGGTTTGCATGTGCCCGCAACTGCTTTGAGCTTGCTGCTTGTATTGCTCTGTCGTGGTGGACTTGGGACCAACATTTCGTACCGGTAGTACAGACGGTGACGCCGATTGGGACGAGGACGGGGGGGGGATATTGCTAGTGTTCGATGGTACTTGAACGTTGTCGTCCGATGCAAGCAAGGCCGAACACGTTTTGTGTGTTGGATCAACTTGCCGCCATCGAGTGGCCTTCCTCCTAGCACCCACTGACTCTTTACGCTGCGCGTGCCTTGTGTGTATTTCGGCGCCGACGCTGGGCCTTCTCGTGCAGGCAGCGGAGGTGGCGGAATGGAGGCGTTTGCTGCTTCTGGCGGTGGGATTCACGGTCCCCGTCATGATCCTGCACATGGTGGACCACGCAGAGTGAGTGAAATGCGGCGGGAAATGAAGCCTTTTTTTTGCGGGGGGTTTTGGCGGTGGGGAGGGTGGCAGCAGCAGCAGCAGCAGCGGCAGTAGCAGTAGCAGTGGTTGCAGTGGTTGTAGTTGTATTTGCAGCGGCAGAAGCAGTAGCAAGTAGTAGGAGAAGCGGCTCGTCGGTGGTATTCTCTGTTGCGGTAGGTAGCAGTCTGCGTCACGGCCTTGGATGGCGGCGTAGTCGCGAGTTGTGGACGAAACGCCAGGCTAGGGTTGTCCAGCCGTGCCTTGCCCGAGTTTTACAGATTGTCTACATGGTGCGTACGCATCACACACACACATACTGGCGCTTACGCCTTTTCAAGAGTCAACCGGTTAGTGCGGCTGATGCTTTTAGTATAAAGATACGCACATACGCCTGACTAGAAGACTAGAAAGCGTGTCCGTGTGTTTGATCCTGCTACAAGACTGATATCTTCTAATTTTTCAGCCGAGTAGCGCCGCGGTCGATGCTAGTTCCATGACACACACACACGTTTCACCCTTTGATTAGAAAGCGCGTCCGACCCCGTGCCCCCGCCGCCGGCCAAGAACATGAGACTAGACGCCGGGCGGATGCAAGAACCAACCGAATCCCGTCCCCGCTTGCATGTTAGCACCTCATTTTTTTTTTTTTTTCGTTGTCTTCGCTGCTGGCCCTGGATTGTGCGGTGTTCTCGCCCCTTGACGATCGATACTTGCTTATGGCAGCGGCTCCGACGCCCTGTGCGGGGGCGAAGCTTCGTACGGCACCCTTCTGTCGTTGGTGTTGGTGACGGTCGTCCAAGCAGTCGTCGGGAAACGGTTCTATCGCAACGCCTACAAGGTATGTACCGTATGCAAGATGGTATTGTCTGCGTTACCCCCCTCCCTGACAACGTTCTTGTTTGGTCGGGAGCCCTGTGCCGTTGCTTGCTCCCCGTCCTGGAGGCGTGCGGTGGAGTCTAACGGGCAGCCTAGTGGGCTCATTTCGAGTAAGACGTCCAGGGAGCGGCATTAGGGGAAGCATCCGTTGAGAGAACCTCATGCAGGCAGAAGTAATATGCCCGGTGGGAAGCACGCATTCGATTGGGATTTCGAGAAAACTGTACTCGCGTTTTTGAACGTGGGGAGAACATATTAATATTCAGCGGCCGTAGAGATGAAAGTCAAGAGTGCCGACGGAAAAGGGTTCAAAGAAAAGGAGGTTAAGATTTTCTACGTAGTAGGGTCAAAGAGATACACCGTGAGGGTTGCGACAATCTATTTGTGTGTGTGTGTGTGGTTTCGTCCTTTTTATTATGGCGACAGTGCCCCCATTTTTGGCGGTGAGACGTGTAGTACGCTTTTCAGCGTATGTAGGGTACTGCACTTTTCAGTGTATTTTTTCGTACAACTACAACCATCCAGGGTCACACAGGAGGGAGTAAACACCAGCAGGGCTTTTCTCTTCTTTTTATTTTTTTTCATACCCCACCTTCCTCCTGCGGTGCGTGCTGAATCATATTTTTATCGCGAGAAGGGTGCAGCCATCCCTTTCCCTCGTCAACGGTGCTAACGTCGAAGTTTGGTACTCACGAGAGGTTTTAAGCTATATTTCGCTTTCACCCGCACACTTCGTAAATTTTCACCCCATGGCAATTCGAACTCACGACCTCTGCGACAAGCGGACTACGAGGATACCACTAGACCACCGGGGCGATATGGCGTCGGTCAAAGAAACGCTGCTTCCTACCTGGCCGCGAAACTAACAAGTTTGGCTTTCATAAGTAACTCAAGCACCACTAATGTCGAGCGCATTAAAACCTCGCCTTTTGAGCAAAGGATGCGCGTACCACCTACCAGTCACAAAGTACAAACGAGTATTAACAACAAAGATGTGCATTCTTTTGTTCCCATAGTCGGCGAAGCACTGGAGCTTCGGCATGGACATGCTGGTCGTGGTGGGGACGTCGGTGTCTTACCTGTACAGCAGCCTGGCCTTGCTGTTGGCGTGCTCCCTGCCGGGGGACCAAGGGGATCATCGCCCCCACCTTTTTTTGGAGTCACCCGCGATGCTGCTGACCTTCATTACTCTGGGTACGTCCGGCGCCTTTTTCTTATGTTTCTTCGTGCTGAGAGGGAACAGCGATTTGCTGCACCCGGGAAGGCGATTATTTCAATTTTTTCCATTGTATTCTTCTTGGTTCGCTGAGCGGGCTATTTTTATTTTATTTATTTTTTTCTTGCACCGAGAAGGCAGGTTTGCTTCCTTTTTTTTTTTTGAATGTGAGTCATCAATGTCGGAGACCTGCCTGGTATCTCTTTAGTTTCTTCTTGCCGTTTGTTACACAGTTGAACCGGTGCGGACATTGCGAGTAGGGAAGTTATATTGGCAACACCCTCCCCCTTTCCCGCCGGACCGCAAATATGTTTCAAGGAAAATTCCTGGAGGTGCTGGCAAAGCGCAAGACGTCGCAGGCGCTGGTTCTCCTGCTGAGCGCGCAGCCACACCATGCGGTGTTGATCGAGCCGCTACGGGAGGACGAGCTGCCCCCCTCGCGAACACCCACCTTCGAAGGAAGCCTCGGAGATACCGAGGCTGCAGTAGTTGTTGTCGAAGGTGCAACAGCGTGATGAGGTTTGATGGGGTTGTGGGAGTGGTGGTTTTGGTGACGGCGCTGCTGTTGTTTTCTATGTGTTGGCGGTTGATGGCGGAGGTGCTGCTCCCGCGTAGCCGCTGAACATGTCAATCTTGATCATCTCCCAGTGATGAAGAAGGACAGCGATGATAGATGACCATGAGGTTGTTGTTGTTCTTGTGGCCGTCGGTGCTTCGAAACCGCAGAAGCTTCGAGACCAAGGAATGATCGTGGTGGTAATAGAGGCTAGCTTCGTGGTGAAGAATGAACAATAACGAAGTATCATTAGGACGGTAGAGAAAGTTACACAACGTCTGGTTGTACGCTTGGAACACGCGACAACAGCCACCCGTAATTTTATCCTTGGTCTGGACTCATCGCGTCGCGTGTTTGTTTTGGCCTCCCCGAATGGTGCAGGCTTTAGTAAAGACGACGACGACGAGGAGAAGTGGAGAGCCATGAGGGCGATGGGGTGGAGAGAGACGAGCGTCGAAGCGTCGCTGGTGCAGCCGGGGGATGTCTTAAGAGTGCTACCGGGATCACAGGTGAAAGGAGAGAGAGAGAGAGAGAGAGAGAGACTGTGCTTCGTGGACAAACACGTGCCTTGGCACCTAAAAGCAACGATTCCTCGACTTGGTGTGCGCTTGGTTCGTTTGTCATTCACAGCAAACACCAATCACACCCGAAGGCAGCAGGCGCAAAGCTCAACGGGGCCGAGACGACCGCCCGTCTCCTCTCCCCGGATAGCCGGGATGCCCAATCAAACCCATAGCATTTCTGGTCTGGCACAGCTAGCGCAAGGATGACAAGCCAGCTTCTGCTTCATCCTTATCCTTGTGAAACGTAGCCTGGGCCGACGATTACCCGGCTTTTCCCTCCGTCCCGGCAATGCAGGGGTGCGAGTTCAATGGTCTCTCAACCACGGCGTGCGTTTTCATGGGTGTATTGTATGGTAAATGGTCTAGCGACTTGTACGGCATGCGTTTACATGAGCACCCCCCCCCCCGATCTCCGTATTTGTCGTCGTCGTTACACGTGCCAGTTCCCAACGGACGGCACTCTGCTGTCGGGGCAGACTTACGTGGACGAGAGCATGATCACCGGGGAGAGCAGCCCCGTGGCGAAGTGCAAGGGGGATGCCGTGTGTGGGGGCACCGCGAATCAGCACGGTTCTGTGCTCATGCGGGCGGAGCGCGTGGGCCAGGAGACGATGCTGGCGCAGGTTAGTTGCGGCGGCGGTGACGGGGTGGGTGGCAGAGGGCAGAGAGAAGAGATTTATCGAAGGGTTGTTGCTGTTGCTGTCGCTGTTTTGTCGTTGGCTTGGTCGGAGTCTCTGTTTTTGGGATTTTTGTAGTTTGTTTTTCTGATGCCCTCTCACGCTCTTCCTGCGGTTTGTCCTTTTGCGTCTATGTGGTGTGGGCGGGTCGGCGCAGTACCCATGCGCCTGTTATGGCGCACCTATCATAAGCTTGTCCTTGTGGGTTGTCTCCTGTTTTGTCGATTCTCTGAAATCGCAGCAGTTGGCGACAGCACGCTGCATGAACCGGTCGTCTGTTGGTTTTCCCGAAGATGCTCTTGATGCTGTTCGACTTCCCGTTCCTCTTCCTTAGCTTGCCTTCCATCTCGTTCTCCCTCCCCCCTTCCCTTCTCTTTCTGCCTCTCTCGGTGGCCCTTGTCCATCTTCTCTTCCCTTCCGATCTCTCCCTTATCCTACCGTTCCTCTCTCTTCTATTTGCCTCAAATCTCTCTCTTCCCCTCAAGTCTCCTCCCTCCCCTACCTCGTTCGGTGTGTGTCTTTCCCTCATCTCCCTCCCCTATCTCATTCGGTGTGTCTCTGTCCTTCATCTGTCTCCCCTCCCCTACCTCCTTCGGTGTGTTCCTTCGTCCCAGCTTTGCCGGCTCGTCGAAGAAGCACAGATGTCGAAGGCCCCCATCCAGAGGCAGGCAGACCGAGTCGCCGGTGTCTTCGTCCCCGCCGTCATTTGCGCCAGCGTGGCAACCTTCCTAGGGTGGTTTATCGCCGGAGAGGCTGGCCTCCTACCCGAGGTGATGCCTCACTTGTCGGTCGACGTCTTGACGGAGGCGTCGTTGTAGCAAAGGGGGAGTACAGGAAAATGTGGGCATAAAGGGAGGGTGGGGGGGAGGGTGGGCAGCGGATGGTGCTGACCGCCCTAAGACGCCTTGCTTCGTGATGGAGCCAGCGTGCTTCCTTATCCTTAGCTTTTTCCAAGCGTACGCGAGTAAGGGTTGCTTGATGCATTTCTCTATGTAGCCGGTGCTGCTTGCATGCGGTTCCTCCGTCTTTTCTTGGTGCGTGTCCGAATCTACCCCGGCACACTCCCCCCCCGCTCCTTCTAAACTCGCGGCCTCTCATCAGGACTGGTTGGCAGAGGAGCGGTCGGACAGCTTCCTGTTTGCCCTGCTGTTCGGCGTCAGCGTTGTCGTCGTCGCCTGCCCCTGCGCCCTGGGCCTGGCGACGCCCACCGCCGTCATGGTTGGTACCGGCGTCGGTGCCGGCAACGGGGTGCTGATCAAGGGAGGGGCGGCCCTTGAGGCGGCGCACCGGGTAAGTGTGTGTGTTTTTATTATTTGTATCGACCGCGCTAACCGGCTGACCAATGGAAAGACGCCAGTCTTCGTGCGGTTGAAAACACAAAGCACTGTGTGTGTGAGAGAGAGAGGAAGTGAATGGAGAGTTACAAATATTGTGGGGGGTGGACCCCCGCATTTATCTTTATTTTTTGCTGCGGGAAAGGGGTTCGGAACCCGTGATACGTTTTTTTCGGGGGCGTCCCTTGAGGCGGCCCACCCGGTTAAGAGAGAGTGAATTGAGAGCGAGAGACTGCTATTTAGTATCGTAGAGTGGTGGACATCCGTTTTTGTTTTTCTTTGGCGGAATAGGGGTTCGGAAACCCGTAAACCTGTTTTGTCGAGAGCGGCCGTAGAGGCGGCCCACCGGGTGATATTTATATATGTATAGAGAGAGAGCGAGAGAGAGCGACAGTGCATGGATAGTGACCAACCTGGTGGTGTAAACAAGCTTTTGGTTTTCGTTCGGTGGTGGAGAACATTTTTTTTTTCGGGGAAGGGTTTTGGGCCGCGGCCGGCCCACCGTGAGAGAGAGAAAGTTGAATGTGGAGAGTGAGAGGAGGGGAGATGGGAACGATCTCTGAGCTGCACCAGTATTGTGGGGTGTTAGACATCCGTTTTGGGGGCGTTCACGGGAAGGCGGCTGCTGCCGTTGCCGCTGTCGTTCTTGCGGCCCCCTGCCTTGGTGCTGTGTTGCGACTGTTTTTTCTGCTGTTGCTGAAGCGACTGCTACTTCATCCTCCCCAAACACGGACGAAAACAACAACCTGGTTTCGCGCGTACCTCGTAAACCAAACCAACAGGTGAATACGGTGGTCTTCGACAAGACGGGGACCCTGACGCGAGGGAAGCCTTTCCTGACGGACGTGGTTCCGATACGGTCCCCAACTCTCGACCGTCTCCTGGCCCCCGCCGCCTCACCGGCCGACACCGCTGCTGGCGAAGCAGCAGCACCAGCGGCACCAGCGGCACCAGCGGCACCAGCGGCACCAGCATCAGGTTTAGGAGCGTCTCCTTCCGCCGCCGACGCGACTGCTTCGGCCGCTGCTTCCGCCGCAGCCGCCACCGCCACCGCCACCGTCCTCGCCCTTGCCGCCGCGTGTGAGGCGTACAGCGAGCACCCGGTCGGGCGCGCGATCGTTAAGGCGGCGGCAGAGGACATCGGCTGTGATGCCGCCGGTATGACCACGGAGCAGCAGCAGCAGCCGCCGCCGCCGCCGCCGCCGCCGCCGCAGCAGCAGCAGCAGCGGTATCGCCAGCCTCTGTCGCCGCTGCCGGAGACGAGGACGAGTTCGACGGCGACGGAGGTGACCACCGACTTTGTGTCGGAGCCCGGGTGCGGCGTGGCATGCCAGCACCCCGTGGGTCGTGTATGCGTGGGCACGCGGGGCTGGGCCGAGTCGAACGGACGGAATGCTGGCAAGATCGGCGTAATTGTTGGCAATGGTGACGGCAAGAGGGAGACTCTGGAGGAGGCGGACAGGATCATGAAAGGTGTTCGTGTGTGCTCCCGCTTGTGTGACCATAGAAGACCTCCATCACAACGTACTACATTAGCCGATATTTTTTTCGTTGTAGATGTTTTTTGTTGTTGAATGGTGGGTGCATCAGACGCCGGTCTTTTCTCAGAATCCTTGGAAGCTCTTTTTACTTTTTTTTTTTTGTATATCTCTATCGAGCTGTGGTTTTTATGTGACTATATAGTTTTTTAGACCGACGACACCGGTCTATTTCAATCGGTACCAGGTGCATCCCGACCCTAACCCCTCACCGCCTCTTGTTGTGGAAACATGACACAACGCCGCGTTTTTTTTCTCTTTAGGCCTGGAAGAGGAGGGGAAGACCGCGGTCATTGTAACTGTCGACGGAGAGGCAGTCGGGGTGGTGGCCGTTGCCGACACGGACAAGGAGGTGAGGAAATGGCGGCGTGAAACGTAATACTGCTAGCTCATGGTGAAAACAACAAGGCCCGATACATGCAGTAATACTGCTACCTCATGGTGAGAACAAGGCGTTATACGCAGTGTGCCGCTGATTGCTGGTGAGAAGCAGGCGGCCTGATACGGGGCACTGCCTAGCCATGGGTTGGAATACAGAAGGTACATCTCAGCCGATGCCGCGTTCGCGGTGACAACAAGGCGGCCTGATACATGCGGCAGCGAGGCGGCCTGATGCATGCTGTAGTGCTGCCGACGTCATGGCGAGAATGCGAACAAGGCGGGCCCACACATACTGTGAGGCGGCCTCGTACATACTGTGGTGCTGCTGACGTCATGGAGAGAATGAGAACAGGGCGACCTGACACGTACCACAAGTAGTGATGACCTTCGTGGTTCGGAGCACAGAGAAGATTCTTGACCACTGCGTGTGACGTAACGGCAGTACTGCAATGACGACGCACTCTTTAGGCCTTTGCTCCATCGGCCATTTTGTTTGTATGACGGAGAATAAGAAGGTGAAATTACTTGAAATTAGTATGGAAATAGAGTTTGTGCATCTAAATAGAGTATAAAATCGCCGATGGAGCAAAGGCCTAGCACTCTTTGACGTGTAGCTTGTATCGGCTAACGCTTTGCTTTTTCCTCCCAAGAGTTGCCGGGGTATGTAGTTGGAAGATGGTTTCAAGGTGTTGCGACAAACGGAGGGGTGAAGAAGTATTGGGCACTCGAAGACGGGTCGAAATTTCGAGACGATCTGTGTACCTGGACAAAATTCCACACATGTACACGGGCTACCGAGCATGCCCCTGTCTAGTCCGCGTTCTACAGGTAAGGAATGTTAACGTTAGTGACGCCCCCCCCCCCGCCCCCCGTTGTCTNACCGAGCATGCCCCTGTCTAGTCCGCGTTCTACAGGTAAGGAATGTTAACGTTAGTGACGCCCCCCCCCCGCCCCCCGTTGTCTAGTCAATGATCTAAGAAGTTGGCATGCGAAACATGAGCATCCCCCCCCCGCCCCCCTGTCTGTTGCTGATGCTTGACCTCGTGGTTGGCAGGAATCACGCCGTGCCGTGCTGGCTCTTGGCCGGATGGGGCTGGACGTGTGGGTGTTGACGGGAGACAACCGCAGGGTGGCCACAGCGCTGGCGAGGAGGCTGGGAATCGCACCAGAGAGGGTGATGGCGGAGGTGCTCCCGGCGGGCAAGGCTCGAAAGGTATGTGGGCCTTTCGTCGATGGTAGTCGCGTATGCTAGGTGTTATAGGAGGTGCACGTAGAGTTGGCAAGGTCATTCGGACCCCACAGGCAAGTCTCTTGGAAGCCGAGACCAAATCAGTAGACTGGTTGAGTGTGGTAGTCACATAGGTAAAAGGTTTCCGGAGACTTGGTCGGGTCGTTCGACCCCCACGACAAAAAACGTATTTGAAGCCGAAACGAAACCATTTTGCTCGGCTAGTCGAGTTGTTTCATTTCGGCTTCGAAACGTCCGATACATGTCCTGTTCTAGGATGAATTAGAGCGGCAGACAGTGCGGTTGGCTGGTTTCATGATTACGTGGTTGGGGAGTCGTTGGTGGAATGGCTCGAGTTTTTTCTTGCTTTATTGTTGTTGCAAAGCGCGTACGTTTTGGAGTTGTTGCGAAGGCTCTAAGCTATTGGGCTTCAGCAGATCCGAGAGCATCCCGGGACTGATGGCGAGTTATCGGAGAGCAAAACAGACGTCGACACGACTGGCTGCAGGAACAGTAATGTATGCAAGACCGACCTCGTGCGTGAGCATGCGGCGCAAGATCATCCACGAAACAAAGCGATGGAGGTTGTTGTCGTGTCCATGTTTACCGCTAACGCGTTTTTTCTCTGTGGGACCCACTTTGACTTCATTCCTACTTCATTTCTACCCCACATACGATAAGATGGGAGCGGAGGAGGGCTCCAGACTGTCTGTCGATGATTTAAATTGGCCGCCAATCCTTCGGGTTGGCTTCAGTGTGCAATTTTTGGTATGTTAAACCTGCGACCATGGGAATCGACCGCGTCAAGTGGTAGACTAGTACGGACAGACAGAGGTACTGGGTAGAGAGATCGGAACGGTTTTTAATGTGAAGAAAACATCTCACAACCCACACAACGTCGCCAGGTGCAAGAGCTCCAGCTAGCGGGGGGCCACGTTGCGATGGTGGGGGACGGAGTCAACGACGCCCCCGCCCTGGCCACCGCCGACGTCGGGATCGCCGTTGGCGCCGGGACACAGGTGTGTTTTGGCATCATCTGGGAAGTCGTGTTGGGGCGGGGGGGTTGGTGTACCCGTGGAAACGCACGGGTATTCGTCAGGCCATAGATCACTTGTGTAAACGCATGCCATAGTCGGTAGACCATTGAACTTATATCCTTAAAGTGAGGGGTCGGTCAGGCGAGCCCGGAGCCGAAGATCTAGTCTCGCTAGGAAGTAGATTTTAGGATAGCTACCTTGCGTTTGCTTTGCGACCAGCTGGAATACTGTCACTTCGCCGTGGACCGCCGACGACGTCGATCCTACGAGCCTGCACACCAAGCCAACAGCGGTTCTTCACACGTGGCACCCCGTGACAGAGTTCATTGTAGTTGAGTCTGCTTCTGTCTTCATTTTGCGTGTTGTCGATCTATGCGTAGCCATTTTTTAGTTTCGTTTCCTCTTTCTGCGTACGTTTCCTTGTTGGTTGTCCCAGGTGGCCATGGAGGCGGCCGACATGGTCCTCGTTCGCTCGGACGTGTGCGACGTGGTGTCAGCACTGCACCTTGGCCGGAAGGTGTGTGGTGTGTGGCCGCTGCTGTCGTGCCTACTACTGTCATGACTTCTGTGGTCATAAGTGTTGTGGTGACTGTGGTGACCGCTTTCACAATGCCGCCGCCGCCGCAGCAGCAGCAGCAGCAGCACGAGGGCGTTGGTCTTTTCCCCGCGGGTCGGGGAGCAACCGTTCCGTTCCATTTTTGCTTTCTTTGACTGCGGGGACTGGGTGATGAGTGAGTTACGATGAGCTGACACTTTGGAGTAAGATAATACCCCCCCGAACATAGTACCACTGCTGTCGTGACAAGTGACTGTGATGACTATTCGTGGCTGCGGTGACTGTGGTGACCGCTCTCATAATACCACCGCAGCAGCAGCAGCACGAGGGCATTGGTCTTCTCCCCGCGGATCGGGAAGCAGCTGCTACTCACCATGTGTCATTTTTATTCTTTGACTGCGGGGACTGGGTGACTGAGTGAGTTACGATGATACATCCACGTAACGACCCAGTGGTAGCATGCATGTACCTCTCAAAATTTAACCCCAAGACACAGAAACTAATTCTCGTAGCCCGATCCTCCCACAAAATCGGGCAGGTGTTTGGCCGCATCCGGCTGAACTTCGTGCTTGCCATGCTCTACAACCTGTGCGGGGTGCCGATTGCTGCGGGAGTGCTCTACCCCTTCTTGCATATCAGGCTCCCCCCGGCCCTCGCCGGCCTGTCCATGGCGCTGTCGTCGATATCGGTGGTGCTGTCGTCGCTGGCCTTACGGTTCTACAAGAAGCCGGAGGTATGCCTGGTCTGTATGCAACATCCACGACACGCTGTTGTTGCTGCTGTTGTTGCTGTTGCTGCTGTTGTTGCTGTTGTTGTTGCTGTTGCTATTGCTGTCGCTGTTGCTGTTTCTTGGTGTTTTGGTAGCGTCTGCGGCCTGGAATGCACTCCACTGACCATACGCGGAGTGATACCACCATCATCCAGCCATCCTATGCCCATCTGAAAGTAAACAGTTCCTGGTATTCACTCCAATGACAACGATGCGCTGGGAGACCGTCAACAGCCAGTCCTACTCCTTGTGAATAAAATATATCCTGATAATCACTCCAATGACAACGATGCGCTGGGAGTGACCGTCAACAGCCAGCCGTCCTACGTCTTGTGAAAAAAATAAGTTCCTGGTATTCACTCCAATGACAACGATGCGCTGGGAGTGACCGTCAGCAGCCAGCCGTCCTACTCCTTGTGAAAAAGTAAGTTCCTGGTATTCACTCCAATAACAACGATGCGCTGGGAGTGACCGTCAGCAGCCAGCCGTCCTACTCCTTGTGAAAAAGTAAGTTCCTGGTATTCACTCCAATAACAACGATGCGCTGGGAGTGACCGTCAGCAGCCAGCCGTCCTACTCCTTGTGAAAAAGTAAGTTCCTGGTATTCACTCCAATAACAACGATGCGCTGGGAGTGACCGTCAATAGCCAGCCGTCCTGCTCCTTGCGAAAAAAATAACTTCCTGGTATTCACTCCAATGACGACGACACGCCGTGAACGCAACCGCCAACAGCCAGACATCCCTGCTCATTGTCCATCTCAGATCGACGACGAGGGACGGCTTTGGCAGCGCAGCGCCGCGGCTACCGGCCTCGAGGTCGTCTCCGGTTGCTACGGCGGCGTCCGGCACTTGGCTCGAGGTCGGCGTTCCTTTTCCGGTGGTCAGGGCTTTCGGTTTCATGTCGTTCCCGACGAAGTGGACTACGATGATGACGATATCGAGATGCAGCCGCGTGGTGGTAGGGGAAGCGGCAACATCAGCACCGCCAGCAGCGGCAGCAGCGGCGTTGTTGGCGCGTGCAGAAGGTAGTGTATGGGCAGTACAGTAGTATGGGCTCCCCGTTATGTGCCCGCTAGATTCAGACAATGAGACATGTTGGATTTGCCATCCGTGTCACGCGACTTGAACCGGCCGTGGCAGCGTTGACCTTCCCCGCTACGTGTTGTGTTTGCAGTTGACTTGGATATGCCAGCCGTGCTTCCTCCCCCGAGAGTACGTGTGTGCGGGCGCGTTGATTCTTGTGTGGATTGCGTGCATACCACATGTTTTCTCCGTGTTGACCGTGGTTCGTTAAATTGGCCGTCTGACGTACGAAATAGCGCCGAGCGGCACCGGCGATACGGCAGGTTCGGTAGCGGGATGCAGCAACAGGAACAACAGCATCAGTGGCACCATTGGCTGACCCGTAGCTCTCTCGAATCAAGCAGAACGATTGCGCAAGGTTCATTCGATCAGGCGTCCTATTTCTTTGCGCGATGCCCCCGTTTTTCTGGCCCCCCATTTTTTTTGCGCATCCCACCCTGCCATTTTTTTTTTGCTTGTCTACCCGTCGGCACCAAACATGGTAAGGATTGGTTAGGGGTGGGGATTTGATGATGATTTTTTACTTTTTGCGGTAGAATTTCGACCGTACATTGTACAGCACCGCGGACGTAGTTCATTTGCCCGTTCCTTGTAGACCGTGTTACATGTTGAGAACGGGCATTCGATGATTTGACAAGCAAACAACCAAACAACCAAACACACGTCTTTTCCTCTTCTTTTCCCGGCCGCCGTTGCTCGTTGTGAAATGTTTTTTCTATTGGTCTTGCAGGTGGTCGGTGCTGTCTTCTATCAAGAAGGGCTCCGTGATCGATTCTGCACCTGTCTTCGCCACCCGGGGAGCGGGTAGAAGGTCGTCAGCGCAATCGGCAGCGGTGGGACCCTACGCGCTTGTGCGATCTCACAGCAGAGGCGGGAGCGTGACGTCGACAAGCAGCGTTTTGGGTCTCATGGACCGGGGGAAGGGGGATGGAGGTGTAGAAATGATGGGGTTCGTGTGAAAGGACAGTACCGCTGATGTCCTGATGAGAGTGTTGCACGGCAACTAGTCGACCAGCAGACGAGGATTCCGTCGGTCTTGGGGGAGGCGTTTTGTCCTTGTCCTTGTGCAGGGTTCGTGTATGACGGGGCTGCTGTGCCTTTACGGTCCTGATGAGCGTGCTGTTGCGTGGCACCCACTCGGCTAGCAGATGAGAGTAAGTGGGTCTTGAGCGGAACTTTGTGTGCGAATCGTATGTGTGTGTGTGCCGGGTCGCGTTGCTTTGTGTGCGCGTTCTGCGGGCACCCCAGACACGCTATCCTACCGTCTGGCGTGTCGGAAGACTCTTTTCGTCGTGTGCGTGTTGTGTGAGACGTTGTTTGTTGTTTGTCTCAGCACCGTAGACGTTGGTTGACCGTATGGCGATTTTATCCTGAGTGTCTACTTTGAACGATTGCGATTTTTGCGGAGCCCCCCGTCCCCTCGGCCGAATATCTCACGGCGCTTCGCGCCTGGTGATGTGAGAGCCTGGTCCGGTGAGAACCCGGCGTGCTCCATACCGGCTTTGTAGGGATGCGAGGTCAATGGTCTTAACGACTACGGCATGCACGACTGTGAGTACACCCCCACCCCCTCCCCCGCGCAAGCCTGCAGCGGTCTACATGTGTGTTCGTGTATGCGTTCATGCTTACTTTTTCGATCGCCATCGACCGCGCTTACAATTTTTGTTTGGCACTACTGAGGTGACGGGTTCAGGTTCAGTGGGGACAACAGAACGAACAAGCTTTTTTAAGGGGGGGGGGAGCGGAGGGTTACTGCTTCGTAGCCTGCCCTTCTCTCGAACAGACTATTTTTTACCAACCTTTCAAGCCCAAACGGGGCCCGCTGTTTGCTCCTAACAACAGAGATGCCAAAAGCAAGTTTCAACGCGTGCGCGGTTTGTGACGCTTCCAAAATGTGCGGGCTCTGGATAGGCGGGGCATCGAGAAGGTAGAGAACAGAGTTTTTTTGAGCTTTGTCGACAAGTACCAACGTTCGGAACGAAATAAATTTTGTGGTGTTGTCGGCGACGGGTTTGGGCTACACATTGTAGGCGTAAGGGAGAAATTGTTTTTTGTTCATTGTGTCTAGTTCACTTGCTACACAGAAAGTGCTTGAGAATCTCGTCATACCCTGGAGTGTACTCTGTGGGTTTCATCAGCAGGTGAGGTTGTCTGGGTCCGATGATTTCGAAGTGTGTTATTAGCTCCCGCGTTCTCATGTCCAGATGCTTGATGGAGTTGTGACAACGAAAGACGAGTGGTGGTTAACGTCTTCAACTCGGCAAGTGAACTCGACCCGCTCTTTCTTTTCTGGGGATTCAATGTTCCACTTGCTTCTGGGCTGGGTAGTGGGGAGCTGGACTAGAGGTGACGGGATTTTGGCAGGCGGGGGGGGTTGTGGGCAGAAGAGGGATTTGATTGGTTAGAGCGCTTGAGTGTCGCTGCGCATACCGTTGGTCTCTGAATCTATTTGTGGCCAACTTTGTTATTGGTTGGTTTGAAGAGGCGGGGGATAATGCCCCATGTACGTGTGGTGGACGTACACGCGCGCGATTGTTGGTGCTTTACGCAGTCTTCCGGTTCACAGCCGGACGTTATGTTCTTGTGGCGCGCTTCCTGTTGCGTTCTTACATCGACAAGCCTTCTTGTTGGTAGGGCCTAGAGCCACATCATTACCAATCAGTCATCACTATGTACATTATTCGCGAGTTTTTCCTGGGCGCCCGATCAACGTATATACCATTGCCACTCATTTGTCATGGTCCACGTTACGCAACATCCGTTGTCGGTTATCTCTTAGAGTAGCTACTTGTTTTCTACATCGTCGTTTCACTTCTAGCGGGGGATGTATTGTCGACGACATTCAATGTCCTTGATTGACCGCCATTGAAGCACCAACAGTGCTTGCGGCAGCAGGGAAAGGGATGGGAAACCTTGTCCAAGCGTAGAAACCATTTCCTCCTCATATTTTTTTGTTCCCTTCCCGATTAATTGTTGTCAGACTGTCCAACCCTTTCTGACGAGAAACGTGAAGAAATTACTGTCAGTTGATTTCGTCCTGCCGGCCTTGATTGATACAATTCGGCGGTTCGCAAAACCGTGGTGGCATATTCGACCGCGATCATTCGAAAATTCCTTCTTGGGACGTGGAATTGATGGCGGTTTCTACAAGGTTTCTGTAGATTAAGCTTGAGCACACAGAGCAGTGGAGCGATCGTCCTGTTGCAGCAAACTACAGCAGCCCTTCTCCTTCCATATTGTAGATACATAGATGAGTCCAGTAGAGGATAAATTAGCGTTGTATCCACCGTGTTAGCGGAGCACTAGCAGTGTTTCTCCAGTTAGTTTCCCCGCGAGCCGCGAGCAGCACACCGCGATTTCTACTCTTTTGGGTACCAACGTACCAACCTGTTTTCAACATCAGAGATAGAATACCTGTGGCCGGTGCCCGGTTGAAATTCGAAGGGACTTCTTCATCGTTCGTTCGGTCATCGGTCGTCGATCGATCATGGCAGGCGAATGGCCAATTTCGGGCAGTCCCGGGGGATGACTTTCCTACTTCCCAAAAAAACTAGCAAGAACCCTGACAGCAGACCAGACGCGGACCGGACGAGCAGACCCAATTCATCACCTGTCGCTACGCACACAGGTTTCCACGTGCTTCCGAATTCTGAAGCTGTATTTCTGAAGCTGAAAGCGACAGTCTCTCCGACCTACTTGAGTTCATTTTTGTCACCCTCTTGTTCCGATTCCCCCACCCTTACCCGACCGTGTCTCAAAAGCCGACCTCGCCCCTTGTCAGCACGGCTCGCGGCATCTTGCGCCAGAAGTGTGCGACGATGCCCCCTGTTTCGGTCCTCTTGACCGGTTCGCCTTCTTCCTTCGAGTCGTGATCGCTCTTTTTTGCTTCTCGAACAACAACGTGGTCCAAAATCAATCTCAAAGTCCGCATGGCAGCAACCAAAGGCAAACTGTTCATTTCAAAATTGCTTAGTAAATGAAAGTGCATGTGGGACGAGTGAATTTCCAAGGCGACATTGTGTCAACACCCATACGTAGTACCACAACGAAAGCACATACGGTGATTCGACGAGCAGGCAAGTTCCAGGTTACGCAAGATCTATGCCACCATGAGCACTGTTTTGATCGTCTTGACCGGTTCGCCTTCTATCATCCTATCTTGATCGCTTTTTTTGGCTTCTCGAACAATGCCGGGAAATGCCGAATCCCAGTACTCTCCCTTCTTCCCCTCGCTCCTCGACAAGCTTTTGCTTAGACATGGGTTGTAGTGAAGGGGGGGGTCTTTCTGGCGAGCAGGGCTAGACTCACCCTCAAGGGATGACCGAAACCTTCTTGCTGCTGCGCATATCCGCCGCGAGGCATGCGCGTGGTGGTGTAGTTGGGTCGGCACTGATGGGGTCAGGCGAAAAAATGTAGATGCGCGGGCCTCTGGCCGTCGGCGTAGGCAGCGATGCCCATCTCATTTTTTGTGCGCGGAGGCAGACACCGTCAGAAGGTGGACGGGAACTATGTACACGGCCCTAGGTTGGCTAGAGGGCGCTGCATTGCCTCAGTAACCTGGCTTCGCCATCAAAGGAGGAGGGAGCAGGTGGCGACGAGCTGAACTGGGCTGGTTGACCCCTTCGGCGCGAGAATTTTTATTTTTCAGACCAAGAACCTTGAGTGCAACGAGGGAGAAAGCGAGGAACCGACTGGGAAGGACAGCAACGAGAGCGTGTACGGACGGAGCAGGTCGAGTGGCGTTATGCTCGGGCTGACTACAGCGGCGCCGGACGGAGCAGTGGCACCGGAGCATGCGGGCGACATCGACCCGTGGCGCACGGACAAACATTTCTATCTGTGTTGTCAATTTTTTTCGTTTTTTTTCTGACTTTCCGTGTTGGTTTTGTGTGATGACATCGTCACCGGTTTTGTAGAGAGACCCGTCAGAGATGGCGTGGCTAACCCGGGTGCATTGGTTTTGTGCCTGATCGTGGAAGACCCCTTCAATGTGGAACGATTCTTAGCTAGTGTCGATATTTTTCACTGCAGTGCCTAACACAGACGATCGGGAGAGATTTGGGTGATTGTCAATTGCTGCTATAATGGCTTTGGTTGGTTGTTCTTTTTCACTGTACGGCCGCAGACACATTCTGACAGTCTGGATCCTCGTATGGCTCTAGCACTTTCGTGACCACGGGCTGAGAGTCTTTGCTAGATTTTGGCATTTAGCAACTGGCATACGGTTTAATGTGAAGTCAACAACAACAACAACAACAGGGTCGGCGCGGCACCAACCCACGGCATCATGTTCATTTCAGAGGTGGTTTGGTAGTGAAAATGTGTGTAGGCCGAGTGAGTTTTATATGACTGAGCAGCGAACGGGACGACTGTTTACGCGAATTTGTCTTTGTTTGGGGTACTTGGTTACAAGATCCGATCTGCAGAGAATATGTGTGTGGGAGGTATACTTTTGGGAGTCCAAGTATGGGGCACCTCGTGAGAGCCCGCGCATGTGTTAACTGAAACAGGACCTGTACTGACTTCGGTCCGTGCTGGAAGAGCACGTGTGTGTTAATCAAGATTGTATATCATCTGCATCGGTCCTCTGGGTTAACATAGTCCCCAGACACACATCAATCCGTGGGTGGGGCCGGTATCCTCCGTTGGTGGGCACGGCAATCTTCGTGGGTGGTCACGGGGGTACACAAACACTCTTCGATAGCTTGATAGAGGAGTTCGCGGTATATCATCAACGGGATGAACGTGCTAAGCGGGACTTTACGCGATCCTGGATTTCTATGTTTTTTGATTAGGAATCCACATGTATAAGAATCAGTCTTACTGCCCCGCCCGAATCGGTCCTCAATCCAGTTTCCCGCTTTTGGTGCTGGCCGTCAGAAACGTGCCCTCGGCCTTGCCTCATTGTATCGACCTCTTCGTTTCTGATGCTGCATCCGGGACCCCTGTTTCCCTTTGTCGGCGCTGGTCGGTAGCAACTATTTACAAGGAGTTCGCGAAGGCGGTGGCGACGCAACTCCCGCAGGTGACGGAACATACTTTAGTCCATATTCGAGTCACCTAAAACAGCAGCGAAGTACTTTCGAAAAACAGCAAGTTGGCAAACGACACTGCGCCATGTTCCCTGTGAAGGCCACATTTCACATAATAAAAGTAAGAATGTATCCGCCTATATGCAGATGCTTTTGTTCCCAGCTCCAACTGGCACTACTGATGACTCAGTGTTAGGCTTTGACAAACTCAAAATAAGCCAAGTCTCCAATTGGTTTTAATCCACTTACTGAAAAGACTTCACCGCACCTTTCAACTGAGGTTATGTCTCGAACGGGTAGTCTTTCTGTGAGGTTATGTTTACTTTCTAATTATATATATGTTGTGTCATCGAAACTTAGGCCCTCTCCTCTCACCCCCCGTAGGCCATCGCCAAAAACACCGATTTCACGAAAAAAACGCTCACAAGAAAAAGAAACCCGCTCGTGCACAATTGAGCTCGCCTTTCATCGCCGATTATCTTCATAGTGCCCTCATGCGGGGAGACTGCTCATGACTGCACACCTTAACGAGAACCATATGGAATCGCCGAACGTCGCCGAAAAAGTATTTTCACCAATGCAATTCGCCGCATTTCTTTCCGTGAACTGACGAAAAATTCAAGTAAAAAGCGCACGGGGAAGAGCCTATCGACACGCGATAACAGAGCACGAAACACCCACACCACAGAAGAAGAACCTGGATACAACGGGTGAATGAAATAAGCCCCCCAATCCAACGGAAGCAAGAAAGAAAGTTGGCCACCCCCGCTAGGCACAAGATGCCAAACAACCGCCATCAGGTGGAGGAAAACATTGCCAAAACATTTCTCATTTCCTAGCAGTGGTCTACCTCACCAAGTGCGTGCGCGCCCCTCGACTATTTTTTATCCCATCCTCACGACTTGACCGCTGGATCTATTACATACATCGTATTTGAAGCTCTCCGTGTTCTTGTGCATGCCAGCCAGCTGGGGTACATAAAATGTTTTTTTACTCTTTGGCGAGGCAGCAGCCTCCTACACAAGAAGCGGCGGACCGCTCAGCCAGGCGCAGAAAGATGCCATCAATTGTCTATCACCTCTCTCTCGTTTTAAGACAAAGCAAATATATAGGCGTGATTTTGAGTGACGATTAACCTAACGCGCGATGAACGCGCGTGTGTGTGGAGAAATACTCAGAAACAGAGCGGAGACTCGGAAGGCACTCGGCTGTCCTCCACAGAGAGGATATCTGGTGAAATCCGCGAATCAATCCTTTTGCCTTTCAATTTTCTTCTACGAAGTACGTGGTGTTTACGTCGGAGACTCATATTGTAACGGGGGGTTGATCCGAAGCTGTAAACTTTAGGTACACCATCATGGGGGAAAGGGCCGACTCCGCATATTTCTCTGCGTCATCAACCCTGATGGAGCTCCTCATCATCGACGAGCTCTTTGTATGCGGTGGAGGCCCGGAACTTCGTCACGAGATTTTCCGCGAGCAGCTGGCTGATCTCTCTCTCCGCCAGCAGGAATATCTCCGCGCGTTGGTCCTGCACAGAGTGGGCCAATGGTAAGCTCAAGGAGGGCGGCAGCAAGAATATATCACGAACGAATGTCGCGCGCGAGTTTCTTTTGCAGCATCGACTGCGGCGTGTGCGAGGCACAAGTGAACAGACATCGCGATGGGACAGAAAACAATATTGATTACCATCGGGCTGCGCCGAAATGGGACCGCTCAGGAGGTTGTCCAATCTCCGGGTTCAGAATAGTACAGGAGAAGGAAAAACACCACAACTCCGTGCCGTGTATGTAGTATGTGTGTGTTGTGCGCGGACGCAGCCAGGGCAACCCAGGCGCCCAAGGAAACCAAGCAGGAAAATATGTTGAGGGATGTCGCTACTGTTCCTTGCGCTTGTTTTTGTTCGATGACATCTCCCAGCTGCCTCAAACCCCTGTGCCATTGATTGGATTGGTCGCTTGAAAGAATAGCGCACCTTGAGACACTTAACATGTCTAGACTGCGGGCCAGTGCTGTACGAATACATGAATACGTACAACGAATGCAAGGATTCATTGCCTGCAAGCTGATAGTATATTGTATGTGTGTTGAAGATGATGGTATGTATCACTTGTACTTTGGACACAGACACGATCAGGATGCGGCGGGAGAGGGAGAGTGCCGCGACACGGCAAGCATACGTACAACGAATGCAAGGATTCATTGCCTGCAAGCTGGTAGTATATTGTATGTGTGTTGAAGATGATGGTATCACTTGTACAAAAGACACAGACATGATCAGGATGCGGCGGGAGAGGGAGAGTGCCGCGACACGGCAAGCACTCCCGCAGGTCTGAGCCCCGTGGATCAACCGTGATTCCAACCCAGGGGGGGGGGGGGGGG